GAGATGCACCTGTATATATATATATATATATATATATATATATATATATATTAATTCACAAAGTTAGCTAAAATGTACTTATAGTAAAAACAATTTTTGACTACAAGTACATTTTTGCTTACTTCTGTATAAACAAATTTGTTACAGTGTTGGTTCACCCCTTGATGTGAAAATGGATCCTGAAGCAAAACCAATTGAAAACCACTGATCTACACTGTAGCATTGATTGAAACTGAAATGAACTCAGTGCTCTCAGAGTCTCTCTGACTCCCTCTGCTTTTATGTCATGTTTTAGAGCAGAAACGGTGTGTGGGTTTGAGTGTAACACATTTAGCATTGCATTATACTCTCTCTCTCTCTCTCTCTCTCTCTGTGTCTCTGTGTGTGTGTGTGAAAGAGAAAGACATGGAGAGGGTATGTTGATCTCAATAACCTAGCAATGGCCGGTTTCATGCACTGATGCTTTTCAAATCTATAAATAAGGGCACAACACCTCAAGGCCAGGGGTTCCTAAGTCTATTTCTGGAGAACAACGGTGACACTGAAATCTGCTGACACATATGAGTACTATCATTTCTCCTAGGATAAGAAGCACCATTATGGGAACTGCTGTGTTCCCATGCAGGAAAACCTTACTCGATTCTCCTTGTCATTGTCAGTTTCATAATTTAGGTTTAACATACTACATTATGCATTATATATGTGTTGAAATCTTTGTCTCACTGTGCATGGATTAGCACACTTAAAAGAGCCGTTTTATGACAAATAAAATGTAATACGCCTGGGTAATAAAACAAATCTGTAAAAAAAAGTTTAAATCCACTAATTATATGATTACTGAACAAGCACTTATCTAATGCTTCTAGTGCGGCAAACTAGAAGTAGAACTGAAAATCACCGCCTTCAGAGGATGCCAGAATTCTCTACAGGTTTGTTTGAGCTTTAAACAAAAATCCAGCACTAATAGTCAGTGTTAAAATTTAAACTGCTCAAGCACACATTAATTACCTTCAAACTGCCTCCACAGTTCCTCTCTTAATCAACACACCACCTCATAAAGTTGGCCTTTAAAAATCTATATTAGTTATAGAACATTAATTTGAAGTAAGTTCTTATCTATGTGTTTGAGACTCATTAATAGCAAAATGAATGGAAAGTTAATGGACGCTACTTAAAAACACAGATAAGCCTATCTTAATGCCACCGGACATATTTAGTAGATGCCGTTAGTTATGAGCACTCAATGGGCTGCTGTGTTTCAAGCATTCATCATGTTGATGGGGAGACAAGCATTTAATGACAGGTTATTTTTCTCTAATAGGGGTGCAGATCTTTGATCACTAACACCAATTGATTTTAAATCCATATTGTTAGACAGTTGCAACCTGCTTCTAAACTTTCAGTGTTAACTGTACTGCATTATATAGCTAGTTTGGAATAACCAATCTGTAAGCAAATCTGTGCTTTATAGACGTAGTTCAGATTCACTTTGAGACTTGACTGATAATCTATTTTAAAAGTGTTTGATATGTGGTAAAACAGTCTGAAAAGTATTTGCATCTTTCTGAAGAGTTATTTTTACAATCAGCATTTCATTGCAATGCATTTGCCTTCTCAGCAATTTGACTCCCATGCTTCCAAAAAAGGCATTTTAGAAGGTAACATAATCAAAGCGCCTTTGCTTCAGAAGTGCCTGTGCTTTACAATTCTGCCTATGTAGTCAGATCACTAGCTTTTGGAACAGAGTGGATCAAATATGATTGCATGTCATGTTCTGCAGTGGGATGAACCTTTCATTAGGGAAAAGCTGTTGTTCGTGATTATATCACTCAAGATCAGGCATTTCAAAAATGAAAACCGCTTATGTTGCAACAATTAAATGATGCAAATTACATCTGATTAACCATCATCAGAGTCTCATCACGTTCATGCAAATTGCAAGTAGTACTCAAGAGACTTACTATAGAACTCCTGACCCTCAGTACTGGAAAAATAATAGACTAGACCAAATGTGGCTATCCATCATACCTGACACATGCCAGGGCTAAATTAAAACATTGCTATACTCAGACAAATCAGACATCAGGTTGTTTGTGACCTTACTGCACTCACGACATCATTGGCACTCTACTGCACATCAAAATGAAGCCATCATCCCTCATTAGCAAGTGGGAGTAGACTTCGATCTGAGAGAGACCGGCGAGCCTATTTGTAGGTTTATCCTGGCCTGTAGCACCCTAATCTATACCTGGTCATCTGTCAAAGGCATAATTTACAAGGCTTTAGCAGATCAAATGCATCATAGCCCATAGTTATTGACATGTGCTTGCGTATGCATATCTCCACAGTGGAAAGTGGAAAACATTTCAAAGTGATAGGAAGGTTGAGGAGACTGCTGATATGTCATATGGCATCTAGGGCACAGAGCAAGGTTAGTGTAAGATTAAATTCTCTCCATTAGGTCCTTGGATGTTTCAGTCAATAACAGTTGCATGTTTGTGGTACAAAAACTTCTAAATGTGCATTTCTTTTTTTCTTTTTTGCATTATATGTGAAGGAAAATTTCATCATATAATGCTTTTCACCTTTTCTTTGTTGAGTCCTCATTGGTATTCACTGCAAAACAAGCACAAAACAGGATGCCTTCACAGGGAAGCATGTATAATGAATTGGATTTAGATTAGCAGTGCAAGTTCTCTTTGGACAAATGCCCAATAAATAATTTGAATTGCAAACATTCACCTGAGATATCTGATAAACCATGGGAAATGTTTCAGCCTGGGAATGAATCTGCAATTAGTGTAGACACTTTAGACTATGGAGGCCTCTTTATTCCCTCAACAGCCCTGAGAATAAGGAGATCTACTCAAATCAATATCGCACACAGTGTTCTGCAAGGTCAACCAAACAGTAGCCGAGAATAATATATCTAGATAATCCATTCACTTTCATATAGTCAGATGGCATATTTGCTGCTGAAGCACAGGTATCACACTAGTATCGGTTAACTTTGTACAGACTGTGCTTAAATGTATTTGCATTTGATTATGTTAAGCAGACTATGACTGATTTAAGGTAATGGACTAAAAATTAGATGCAGATTGAACAAACTGTTACAGTAAATCAACATCAACGGCATTATTAATAATCAATTTGAATGCCACAACACCCTGGGCTCTCTGTTGTATGGATTGTGTATTAGTCCAAATGTCTTGAGGTATAATACCAAAACTGTGCTCTCAAAGACATTTTAAAAGCAGTTTTCTCATTGAACTGCCTGACCGTTATTGAGTTTCACTGACCTGAGAACTGGAACAATGTTAATTAAAATGAAGAGTGGAAAAAGAAACTTTTTTGCTCCAATAAGCTTTACAAAGGATCCCCTCCAGCAGAGTGGAACATACCCGGATTACTTTTATCACCTTTCACCTCTTTCCACAACTCCGGCCTGGACGGGTTTGCAAGGACATGGCTAGCCAGACAACAAGAGGCTCTCAAACCCACCTTGACTCATGTTGGAAATATAGCCTTAGCATCAATATTGAAACATTTATCTTCTTGTCAGTGCTTGAATGTTATTTTGTGTTGTCAGCATGCTTAGGGAAGGGATGACTCAGCACTGTCAGCAAATGAATAATGTGTTGCAGTTTTGTATATTTAAATGACTGACCTCTAAGTTTCTCGCTTACCGCAAAAAATCATGGAAAATTCATTGAGGTCAACTGCTCTACAGAGCTTGGCAGTTAATGCGCAACTTGCTCCTTGAAGCCATTGCGAAAGACTGATAGTTTCTAGGGTTAATGCAAAGCTTCAAACTGTCATTTCTGATTCATGGAGACTATGACACTTTTTAGGTCAACAGTTGAATTGCTTAATGTCAAGGAGAACATACCTGTAGCTTCGACCATACCCTCCAAGATGACGACAATCTCAAACTCTTCCTTCTCCATCTGTGCCCGGGACATCTCCCAGAAAGGACTCTTCTCATTTATCTCGTGGGAGATAATGAGAGGCGATACCAGGAAGAGGCGATCGTCTCCTGTGTCAAAGCCAATGTTGATGTCCGTCTGGTTGAGCGGTATGAACTCGCCCTCCTTCGTCTGCTGTGAACGAATGAGTTTAGCACGGATTGACGCTTCCACAATGTGCGAATTCCGCAGGTCACCCACTCTGAACATCAGGCACATCTTGCTGTCCCTAACCGAGATCACGGCCTTGTGGGAGAACATCAGCGTCTCTGCTCGGTTCTTGGGCTGCGAGATCTTTACGAACATGCAACCTACCATCATGGCATTGACAATGGACCCCAAGATGGCCTGCACCAGTAGAAGTATAATCCCTTCTGGGCACTTCTCCGTGATGACACGATAGCCGTAGCCAATGGTGGTCTCGGTTTCGATGGAAAAGAGAAAAGCCGAGACAAAGCTGTTGAGGTTTTCAACACAAGGGGTCCAGCCCTCTTCATCTGCGTGTAGAAGATCTCCTCGTATTAGTGCAATAAGCCACCACAAAAACCCAAAGAAGAGCCAGTTGACAACGTAGACCAAGGTGAAAATGAAGAAACTGAGGCGCCAACGTAAGTCGACCAGTGTTGTGAAGAGGTCGCTGAGATAACGATAGGTCTCTTGAACGTTTCCGTGATGAACATTGCACTTGCCGTCTTTCTGTACATAGCGCTGGCGGGGTTTCTTAACAGGATCAGAGATGAGGTGGGTGCGATCTGTGGGGATTTGTGCTTCCCTCAGGTACTTGGGGAGTTTCTTCACCTGCTGTAAGGAGGTAGAGAGATAAGTAACAAATTTGGTTACAAGATCAATGTGACATAGAAGCTCTGTCTTCTTGGATAAAGACTCAATTCAAAATGATGATGATGATGATGATAAAACGGTCTACAGTATCAGCAAGTCTGAACCTGTAGGCCTATATTAAGCATCAGTGTTAGGGAGACTGCTAGAGAGGCATAATACATGCAGGATGTGATGCTTCCTACAGGTCCTCTGGTGTTGCAATCTAGTCCCATCAGAATCATTCAACATATGTTGCAAGCCAGATCAATATCTCCCATCTGCCTCTTCTATCTCTTCACTAAGCTGCTGTAAGCCAGACAATGACAGTGTGGACGGCACAGTTGCCAACATCAAGCAGAGGTACGTTCACACTGTTCCCTTCTAACAATGGAAGTGCTCTGATATCTTCGCTACTGTTATGACATTGTCACAGTACTTCTCAGCACGTACAGAACATGCAGATTACTGCAACGTAAGAGTACTGGTGGCTTTTTCTTTTTTCTATTGCTGTTTTTTCCCTCCAATGACTCTCTATCTTGGCCCTAGTCCATTTCTGATTCCTTGTTCTACACCAGCTCCATGGGACACTTCCCCCATTACCTTCCTCTTCCCCATGGGACACTGGCAAGCCCAGATAAGAAAATTTGCCCCCTCCCAAGTCCATAACACAGTGTCCTCCACATGAGACAAGAACACATTGGCACGTTGTCTTTCCATTTGTGGAAGATTGTGCTTGGTTGTTAATTGAAACGTGATATTGTGTTAAAGTGGTGGCAGTCAATTATAGGCAAGCCTTAAAGTGCTTATGAGAAACTGGAGCACAAGGAGACCTCCTGCTGCGTACACACCTGAGGCCCCCTATTTTCTGTCAGTTAAAGCCAAATATTGGGCAAAAAATAAAACCAATACTTTTTGTAAACATTGCAAACAAATATCCTCATTTAGAGCCAATTTCCAGTATTTGGTATGCCTCCAAATTTGTACTTCAAGTTAGCTATTATATTCAGTATTTCACATCATTCAAGTCATAAATATAAAAATGTCAAAATATGCATTTAGCATATATTAAATATGTTTAAATAAATTATTTCAATTTATACATTTAAATAAATTATACATAACATATTCACATTTATAAATATATAAGTATAGTGTTTAGTTATTGCACAGCTCCCTGAAATACTTGACTGAGCATTGTGTCATCAGTTATTTTATATAATGAGCCTAACATAATATATTGATCACTATACAATGTCCTGGCTGTCAATGAATTAATGAATGTAAGTAGAACACAGAAATGTTTGATTAAAAAATGGTATTTAAAGTTACAATTATTGTCTGAATTTCAGTTAATTACGCACTTCACATCATCACCTATTGGTTTAGGGTTAGGGTTCCTTTAGTTTTAACCTCCCACATTATGATTTATTTGAAGGCCACTGTATTGAACTGCTGTTTTGATGGATTCATGATTACAAGATATTAAAAACATGAAATAAACACAATAAAATACATTTCTCATTTTTATTTTATATTCTAAATTCTCAAGTTAAGTTGGTCTATTCCATGGTTACGGTAGATATTCATTTAACATTACTGAAGTTGAAAGTGATAGTGGGGAATACTGACCTCTCTTGGAGTCACTCCTATCTCCATGTCGTGGTCCATGTGGACGCGAGAATCTCCTGCCATCCTCAGCTTCGACTGCAAACCTGAAATAGAGATAAATATCACAAAAGAATAACATAACCTAATTGCTCTTACTTACTGTATAGCAAATAACCACGCTATGATTTTAAACATGTTTTACTTTTAATGAGCAGGGAAAACTACTGAGTGCACATTTAATGAATGCTCATTCAATGAACCTTGGGATTTACCACTCTAAGCCTTGATACATTACCCTTATCCCATTCAGATGGATAAACTTCATTACATGGATTTATTGTGCCCTATAGGAATATTGAATGGTTTGGTTTAGGATTACCACTGTTTACAGAGTCACACGAGCAGACAAGGCACATTCAAAATCAGAGTTAATCTGATCAGCTAATGTCTCACCCTCTCTCAATTAGGTGAGTAAACATATTTATCATGTCAAACGCCACGGGAAAAGCGGTTCAACCATGCCTGTCTGATTTTCTAATGGGCAAACAGAAAAACTAAACCTGACTGCTCAGGTTCTCACATCAAATTGAGTGTCATTTTAAATATGACATGACATGACTTCAAGATGGAACAAGTCGTACACACACGGACACCTTTGGGGGAACATCTTCGATGGTTACTCGAAGGATTAAATCAAAGCTCACAGGGGAGATGTACTTTCTGAGTATGCGGATTGAGTTTAATTTGTGCCTAAAACAGACTGGCAGTCTCAGCTGTTCCCTGCTCCCAAAAGACTAACTGCATCAGCACCATCACGCCATGAAAGCTGCTGCTGCTGTCTCCGTCATCCAGTCAAACTCTCCCTCATACACACAGAAGAAACGCCAACCTGGGTGAGCACCTCTGCATGCTCCTTGCTGCCTCCGGCAGCTCACTATCTCCATTCTGACACATTTAGTGTTCACCTGTCAAATCTATGGAGCCGGACTCTGAGCAGATAGGGCCTGAATAGAAAGTACTGCTGTAGCGTAGGCCCGGTTTCAAAACCTACTGAGCTGTCTTGCTGTTTACAGCATCCAACTGAAATGGAACCTCATAAGTAACCGATTTGGAAAGGTATAGTTAGGGCAGCAACTCTGTGTCAAACAAATAGCCTCGAGTCTGCTGTTAGCATGTCGCTAAGCTGACAATATGAAGAGCATAAAAATAGAGACTAAAATATACTAAAATTGGAAATAGTCCATTTTAATTAAAATTGTAACTATTTTATTGAAACTTTTCTGCATTTAGAAGAGTGGCAATACAGAGAGTTGATCAACTCTTGACAAATAAAATAAAATTAAATAAAATATAAATTATGTTTAAAAATACAATTCAATTTAAAAAATAATGTAAAACAAATTGTTGATGGTGCCTTATCAGGATCCCTACATGCCCTTGATTTTGGAGCAGGGCTGTAGGCTTACTGTACCTATGTTTTGTTTCCATTAACGCGTCTTTGTTATGGAAAACTGGATTTTGGTTAGTTTAACTTCCAGATGTTATGTCATGGTGCATTAAGCAATGATTCAGCTCCAGATCCTGGTCACTCCCACACTGCACCTGTGCTCCTGTCGGTAATGTCACACAGCTTCATCTATGCTAATCGCTTACATAAGGTGCCTAATGACTCCCATGATCTCCCATGATCCCCAACAGCCCATCTGCAAGTCATACTAGCCATGTGCACTCCCTAATTCTTCTGAAAGCTGTTTAGGATAACAGTTAAATAACTTTCAGACAAATAATGGCAGATTCTCCTCTGAAATATAGAGTGCGTAAAAGAAAGAGAGTGAAAACCAGAAAGAGAAAGTACAGCCTATTTAGGGGGATATTTTACAAATCCCCCACTGTTTTTTTCCGAAAGAGACCTTACAATAGGTATTGATCAGCTAGGAGAGTAAATCAATGTAGAGTAATCAGGTGAACTGATGAACCCCGGGAGCAAATTACCACAAATGCTGGTGCATATTTCCCTTCCATGCCTTGTAATGGCCACACACGTTTTCAGCGCAGAGAAAATAACCCTCATGGTGGAGGTATGAGATAATCAGCGCCGTGTAGAGCTAAACACACAAAACCTGGCGCTGTATTGGGCAACAGCTGATCTCTGATTAATTAGTGCATCCTAGAAAGAATCCCTGTTGCAAAACAGCTAAACTCAATTTGTCAACAACAGTAGTGAACATTTTACAGGAATTGGAGGCCGGCCTCACTGGAGATTCGAGTCCTTTGTTTGACCCTCGTTCTTATTTGTCTAATTCCACTCTACTGCAGTGACATCACTCATCCCTATTTGCACGGCCCTGCTTGTGCGCAGATGGCACGTCAGAGCCGCCATCCACTCAGGAATACAGTGTTGACTGACAGGTCTGCAGTGAAAGGGCACACTGACGTGACCCGCATCCGAGATGCACATGGAGAATACATCACAGACAGACGGCAGGCCTCCACAACGTCCCCTCCTCTGCCATTTCCACATTTTATGACAAAACGGTCCCTGTGCAGCTCCATATGACTTTGATGGTTGCACGTCGGTGAGGTGAGCCGAGCCAAGCCAAGCCAGAGCAGAGTCTGTTCCCTCATGCTTATCTTGCTGTTCTGAAGAGGTAACAAGCTCCTTATCAAGCATTTAGAGTAGCATGCTTTTTGTGGTTTTGGAGTCTGGTTGCAAGCCAGACAGGGGACACAACAGAGAGACAGAGAGAGAGAGAGACGCTTATATTCAATGATTTTGGTTTTGGTTCCTCAACAGTTTTGTCAATGATTCCATCAATTCTTTTGAGTAAGAAACGTTTGGGGGGAATGCATAATAAATAAATGTAAAACAATATAAATTATGCACTATAAATTGTGTAAATTATGCATTTACTTTTATTGACTTTTAACAGCATAAATGCATACAAATAAATGCACCCTAATAATAAATAGGAAGTGGATAAAACTAAAAAGAGACAAAGATGATAAATAATTCTAAATCAAAACAATGGTAACATTTTATTAATTTTAGTTTTATAAAATACTAATAACAAAAATTGTAATGCATAATGCACTGAGTTTTATGAGCCTTAAGTACAACACATTTGAGTGCTGTGCACCTACATATTTAATAAATTCAATAAAAAGAACCGAATCACAAGAGTCATTCATTTTTGAATCAGCGCTGGGGATTTGTTTTTCTCTAAAAAGAACCAATTCATATAAGTCATTTGTTAAAGAATCAGACTACACTGGTCACACTGAGAACCGACTCATAAGAGTCATACACTCGGGTGACTTACAGTACTGCGCTCTATGGTTTTTGACTAACTAAAAAGAACCGACTGAATCATTTGTTCGGGAATCATACTTTCAGCATGACTCAATAGTGGTAACCAGTCGAGTATTTTTATACGGTGTGCTGTCCGAATGAATGGATCAATGCATGCATGAGAATTGTTAACAGAACATAATTCTGGCACAATATATTTTAATGGTGGAGAACGCGGGCATCAAGTTTTTACATTAACGTGTGGCTGTCAGACTGCTTTAATTGCACTGCAAAAATGCTACTGTATAATTTGTCGACATCAGCCTCTTTTCACAGTGAAAAGTGATCTCTTTCCCGTGAGTAAGACACCACAGGCGTGCACTTGTATCAATACTAATTAGTGTTTCAATGGTACGGTTTTGCTTGGAGGATTCAGCTGCTGTCGGAGTTCCTCGCTCATGCTCTCACCCCTACATCATTGCCTCTTAGAGCAGATCAGCGCAACAATCAGGGAGACACTTCATTTGCTAGACCTGCGGATTTCTCATCAGACTGCAGAGCTGTTAACCCCCCCCACAAACAAATAGGAACAGCTGGTTTATCGCAAAGAGAGACATTTCCTGCAATGTCTGGGGAATGACCCGCGTGTTTTGTCAACACACTGCAGTACCAGTGATGTCCAACAACCCGATCTACTCAAACACATGGGAGAGTAATGACTGGTGGGGGAGGAATAGAGCTCACGCTGCAGCAATGCATTTTACTACTCAGAAATGAGTCCATTCATCCATGTACTGCAGTCAGGGTCGCGATTTTCGCTCTCTTCCCTTTTTCTTTTGTAGGAGTAAGCAATTCTGAAGAGTCATCAAAACAAAGTGAACAAGCCAGACTTTTGAATGGAGAATACATACTGTAGTAGAAAGCTTTCTCCTTAGACTTTCCACCTTAGCAGTTCTGCACACAGCCAATGCAGTGTTCACTGCTGCCTACACTCTGAACAAGGACTTCTGTAGAAGCTGAAACGTTAAAAATAAATAGTTCATTTGGAATGCCCTGCAGCATCATGGTGGATATATAATAAACTGTATGTGTCTTTTTCATTGATGGCACTGTTTTTACAGGGCCTTAAACTAACATTTTGCCACACCTGCCAATGGCTTCAGACTTGAGAAAATTTACCAGCCATAAATATATTTTTTTACTAGCCATGAAACTGCATGTACATTATTTGAATAAAAACAGGCAGGACAAACTGGGGAAACACATCTAATTGGAATTAGTAGTAGTAGTAGTAGTAGTGATAGTAGTATTATATAAATCAAAATTATTATTATCATTAGTTACTGGGCAACTGTCATGTAACACTGTTTCATCTCTACTAGTCAACACTGATATTTACTCACATTTGGCACTTGGGGTTTTACACCTGTGAACAACTGCAAAAAGCACACCTGGAAATAATTAAGCTGAATAAAAATCCGGACACATCACTCACTCTCACCACATTTATTTTACCAGAATTTCTTGTGCAATGCTTGATGGGTAAATTTCCCTCTGCACTCTCTATGAAATACCAACCTACACTCTTTACTGATGTCGTTTACATATGCACTTTACATATACACTTTCTACTTAAAGGCATAACTCAGCGAAGAATGTAAAAGCTGTCATAATTTACTCTTCCTCATATCCTTCAAAACCCACATGTTTAACTTTATTCTGCTTAACATAAAATGAAAGATTTTGAAGGCAGTTCCCCATGTTTTTCCATGCAATTACCATGAACGGGAACTGAAGCTGTCAAGCTTTAAAAGG